CCCCCCCCCCCCCGCGCCCCGCCAACTTGCAGCCGGGATCGAGCTGTGTCCCAAGGCTGCATCACCTCCCCCGAGAAGCCTCCAAAATCTGAGCTCAATTAGGGAAGGACTGGGTTGGCATCGACTGGCCTGAGTCAGTGTCTCAGTCCTCCAGTGGGTCCAGTTTTGCAACTGTTGGGGGAAATCCCAACAAAACTTCTAAATTAGAAAGTATGCAGCTTTAAATCTCAAAACATTCAAAACGCCACCCACATACTTCTTATCCTTCAGGGGCTGCATGGAGTAAATTAAGATTTCACTTCCATTTCCCCATATATCAACATCTACACCTCCCATCATCAAGATGACAGTCCCAGATATTTTGCAGGAATGCACTAAGGCTGGAGTTTTGGGGCACACTGTGGGGGTTGCTGCCAGGCTTACTGGTTCCCCCTTTCTGTCCCGACCCCCCACTATGCCCTACACCCACCCTCCTTGTGCCAGAAGCTGGGTCCTCGGTGAGAAAGCAACTAGTGGTCCAAAACCCACTGACCCGGCTCCGGCTCAGAAGAGCACGAGGGAGGGTGCCCGGCTCTGCGTCCTCGGACGCACAAGGAGTAAGGCCTGCCTGGGGGCTTCACGAGCACAGGGGCCTAGGGCGGCGTGCCCTCCCCTGTCTGCCCAGTCCTGGCCCTTGCAGGGCAGTGATGCCCCGGGCCAGGGTGAGTGGTCCGTGGCCTCACGAAGGTATGTCCTCCCAGAACGGGTTTCCTGCTGCAGAAGACCGGGGACCTGCCCCATGCTGATGTGGGGCTGGGAGCTTCCTTCGCTGCAACCCTGGAGCTTGGGGCCCCTCCCTGAGGGTCAGAGATGGACACAAGGTCTCCCGCTCTGAGCACAGGGCTCTGCTCAGCTCCGACAGTGGAAAGCTTTAAACACACCTGTTTACTCTGCCAGAAGTTAAAGAGAAAATTCTAGGCAGAACTTTCCATTCACATAAAGTTGTAAAATAGTCTCTGAGTCAGACCTAAGATTACTCATCAAACGACCGAACGAACACACCACGTCGTGAGCGCAAACCTCTAACGAAAGGCAGGAATGTAGTTTGTCAAGACATCGTTTCTTAATCGGTGTCTTTGCACATTAAGAACAGAAAACGTTCTGAACCAAGAATGAACTGCAGGAGTCCGCGGGAAGACACGCGCTACGGGAGAGCTCAGTTTTAGGAACTAGGGCCCCAGAGGCCACGTGGCAGCGGGACACGTTCACGGGCCTCCTCCCCGTGCCGTACAGCACAGACTACAAAGCCTGGTTCCAGTCACCGGACAGGAAAGACTAATGCCCCAAAGAAAAAGCCCCTAGAAGGGCAGCTGCTGTGTGTCACCTACCAGGGAGAGGGGGCAGGGACCTCTGCCCTCGTCGCCCCCTTCTGGCAGAGGCCGGAAGCGCGTGACTGGATTCTGAAACCACAGCGCTGTCTGTAAAAACAGGCAGGAGTTCATGACGCTGTCGGCTGCAGAAGCAAACACACGCGAGGGTACACCAGCTCTGCACACAGCTCCAAGGCCACCCTTGTGCGGGCGATGCCCGATCCCTGCTCTGCGGGGGCCCAGCCTGAACGACGCCCATGGGCCGACCTGAGAACATGGAAGGGTCTCCTGGGTGGATGTGCAACCTGACCAAGTTCAAGGCTTCCCGGCCTAGGGCCGTGGACCTGGGCTCCCGGAGCCGCCTCCCCCCGAGTGCCCACCAACTGATGTGCTCCCTCTAAAGACACGGGACCAGCTCTCCAGGGGGTCCCGACGCAAAGAACCACACGAGGTGATGCGAAGGAAAGCCCCCTGCAGCCTGGCATGGAATGGAAACGGGTGGGCTCAGGATCTGAGACGTGTCTGAGGGTCACGTGGCTCCCACCCACTCAGAAAGTCAGGACGGACCACATTCACCGCGTCCCTGCTGGCACATAACCCACTCCGCTCACTCACAATTGCCCTCCTTCCGGCCCAGGCAGGTGCTGGGGGCTCCTGAGCCAACCCCTGCCCCATGGGGAGACGTGTGTGAATGAGGCCTGAGACCAGGCAGGTGGCCAAGGCAGGGATTCCGGGTGATTCTGGTGCTGGAGTGGAGCACAGCCCAGCCCCGTGGTCACGGGTATCGATTCACAGACACGGGCCCCGCCGCCGCAGGCAGGTGGTCCTGAGAGGGCGTGTGCACACTGGGGGTCCAGCGGCCTCCAGATGGAACACTGTCCCCCCTCTTCTCTGCCTTTCAACTGATGAGTGAACGTGAGGTTCAAGCGATGAGGTCAGAAGCGCCAAGCCAGGCTCGGCCACTGCAAAATGGAACATACTCTGAAGACTGGTCCTGACAGTTTAAGGACAGGACGACAAGCAAAGCATCGTTGTTCTACCCCCACTGGCCTGCATGGCAAAAGCAGCGCAGGCTAACCTGGTTACCTTTGCAGGACTTGGCATTGATTCAAGACTGGTTAAAAAGCAAGGACCGTATCTTGGAGCCCATCTTTAAGGTCTCTAGGAGAAGGTCTGAAATCACTCTGGTAACAAGCAAGCAATTCAGGGCCAGTATCTCTCTCATCTTAAAATAAATGATTATTTTCCACGTCACTGAACTGTGGAAAGTGAATATAAAAAAAAAGGTTAATTCTAACTTGGACCCAAACTGTATCAAAACCCACTGCAACTGCCATGGATAACTTATAGACGGGAAATTCTGAACAGAGACAACCGGGGGCCCTCTGCTGTCGTGACAGATGGACTAGGTCCCAGCAGAAACGAGCCTGAGATACACAGGTTCAGCAACATCACGACAAAAAGTACACTTTGCTCGGGTGGGGAGGTCCAACGTGCTTTCCCACAGAAGCTAAGGTTCCGGAGCCTCGATCTCCTTCTCTTAGGACAGGGGGTTCAGGCCACAGCTCTCCAGGTGGCTGGGGCTTTACGGCTGGAGGAGATAGAAGAGTTCATGATTTTACGGGAGGAACAATTCTCATCGTTCTATGTACGGTATCAAGAATTGAGGGTAAAACCCACTGCGGGGGCCAGGACTCTGACAGAAAACTTCAAGAACCAGAGTGCATCTTCCTTCAAGTTCACGGTGCACACAGGACAAGCCACTACCCCTGGCACCATGTTTGCAGGGCGCGTCTTCACCGTCTCATTGAAGAGAGAGAGATACTCTGGCTCCTTCCCTGGTCTTACACTTGTTCTCTAAGGTTTAAAAAAAAGAACAAGGAAAGAGAAGAAAATGGAGATTTCCCGCTGGCTGGCGTGTGGCCGTCTCCCCAGCTCTACTTGGCAGTGACAGTATTTTCCATTAAAGGCTCTGCAGAGGCCCAGGGCCCTGGGGGACTACGGCTGGTCCCTGGGCTGCCCTGCTCGGGGGCTGTCCCCCACCAGGCTATAGGCTTCCCCCTCCTCCTGGGCCAGCGGGCCCTGCAGGGACCAGGAAACATCGCAGGGACACAGATGCCCTGACCCACCGGCCGCTGAGGGGAGCTGAGGCCCCCGCACCCTGCGCGCAGGCACTAACGCCTGAGAGTGACGACATCTGGAATGTGAGCGGAGTGGGGAAGAAAGAAAAGGAGAGGGTGCAGAGAGTCCAGTGGAGACTGGCCAGCCTTCGTCCGGGGGCATTTCCAACAAAGGGCAGAAGGCAGTGCCGAGGCGGCGAGAGTCCTAGAGCCGTGGGCACAGCCAGACGAGGGTGGAGGCTCCAGGAGAGGGCCTGCCTGTGGGGCGAGGCTGGGGGTCGGGGACAAGGGCTGCCCTAGGAGAGCCTGCTTCCCCAGGGACCACATCCGGGCCCCAACATCCTGCAGCCTCCCTGCTCCCCTCCAGACTGTGGGCTCCTGAGAGATGCAAACCTCTGCATCCCCCAGAGTCGGGGCGGGTGCTGAGGATGGGCAACCCCGCCTGCATCTGTGCCTGGGGGTCCTCAAAATCCTGGGTAAAGTGGGGCCAGGGAGGTCACCCCCGCAGCGGCCGGCTGGACTGGTGACAGGGCCTGCGCCACGGCCGGCGCGGCGCTGCCCAGCCCGAGGTGTCTGACAGCCGCTGCTGTGAAGCTCTGCCCCCGCCCGCTGTGGGGAGGGGCGGAGCTGCGGCGGCCCCGGGAAGCCTCTCGCTTCCGGGCACCTGGCTGGCACAGGACACGGGACTGCGGGGGGAATGGGGGCGGGGGGGGGGGTCAGAAAACCGGCCGGGGGGGCTAAGCACACCAACGGGGGGGGGGGCAGGAGCCCACCCCCGATGAAGAAATCTTTACTGGGAGTTTTACAGAAACTAGGTAGATTTCTTTTATGGCCATTTCTTCAGTCAAATTTCATAAGAGTCATGGGCAGAACAAACGAGAGGGCAATGCAGGCAGACATTAGGAAGCCAAAGGATCCCAGTCCTACAGACCAAATTCAGGGTGAAGGTTTCCTGTGCCAAGTAGGCGGAGCTGTGCTAAAGTACTAGCCTCTTTCGGTCTAAACCCACAGTTCCAAACCCCTGTCCCTCCCTTTTTTAAAAGCAAAGGGCATTTTTGTGGGACTTACACAAAGCAGCCTTCAACTTATAAATTCAATCGATGAAAAAAAATGCTACCCTTCAGAATCTTGATATTTGGGGGTTAAGGATAAAATCACCACCACCATCACCACGCTAACACTGACTGAGCCCTGCAAGCCACTGACTCTGCTTCACTGTGTTCACTCCTCACAAACCTCTCATTATACCTACCCTATGGATGAAGACTGACTCAGAGACGTTACAGTCCTTGCTCGAGCTCACACAGCTAGTGGGGGGGGGGGGGGGGGGGGGGTCAGAAAACCGGCCGGTGGGGCTAAGCACACCAACGGGGGGTGGGGCAGGAGCCCACCCCTGCCCTCTGTACCTGCACACTGACACGGTGACACGACACGGTTGTCACCAGCTGTAGGTGGCAAACACACAGCACCTGACCTGTTCTGCCCTAAACTGGGTGACTTTTCCAAAAGGAGCCCGACACAGTGATCTCCTCACAGGCGCACTCGGCTGCGTGCCAGCTTCTGTCCTGTCACCCAGGCAGTCCCTAGAGACTCTCCGAGTTACAAGGCAGTCCCCCGACACGCGTGAGACAGGCAGATTTTCAGGGTCCTGGGAAGGTCCCCGCCAAAGTGACTGTGCAGCGTCTGTGCATGTGAGCTGCAGGAGCCCATCCACACCGTGAACAGAAGGGGAGAATCTGAAACCCCCAGGGCCCTGCAGCAAAGTAAGAGGCAAAAAGTTCTGAAGCAGGAACACAGAAGGTGAGGTCGGACCCAGAATAGAGACATTTGGCATCATCTTTCTGGACATGAACACTAACTCCCGACTCGCTCTCAGAGATGCCGACACAGGGGCCTCCCTGGGTCTTGCACAAAGGACGGGGGTACACCATGTACCCCAAGCCAGCCTGGGGAGGAGGCCCTCGAGACGTAAACACGGAGCTGGTTTTCCAGGAGCCTTGTGGGAGGGGAGCTGGGGTCCCGAATTACAAACTTCTGTGATCGCTTTGTTATTTTTAAAAAGCACGACCAGCACATTTTCACAACGAAGATCAGTGGATGCTGGACACTCATGAAAGAAGAAAAAAATATCGTTTCGGTCACAGCTCTAAGGCAGACATTACATTTTTCACAAGGACGGAAACGGAGACACCTAACGCTGGGCGTTAAGGAGGTGGGTTCGCGCGGCCCTCACAGCACCGTGGCTTGGACGACGATCTCCGGGTTCTCGATGTCCTTCTTGCTCTGGACCATCCTCAGCTCCAGCTGGGCCGGGCTGGGCTTCAGTCCTTCCCCAGCCCTGGCTGCAGAACAGGCAAAGCATTAACGATGGGAACAGAACCAGCAGAAGTCATCCCGAATCTTGTCTCATCCTTCCCTCGCCTCTGTGAGAGCCCCCAATGCTCTGGATCACCCCTGAGTGCCCATCTCAGCAGGGAGCTCCACAACGTTGCCCCCTGCCCCAGCCCTAAAGGCCAACGCCAGGGAGATGGTGGGAGCCACAGCCCTGTTCACAATGCAGGACTGCACCCCTGCCCCTGTACCCGCGAGGTGGTACCTTGTGCACACTTGATGGTCCGCTGCAGAACATGGTGCATGGCTGACACGGTCTTCTCACAGGCCACCTGCAGGAAGGAGAGTACACTGAGCCCCCCGCCCCCAGGCCGCCTGGATGGGGCTGTCCACTGACAGGGCACTAGGGATCCACAATCACATGCGCCCCGCCTAACGGAGCAGTCGCTGCGAAGATCCCAGGAGAGCTGAGCAGAGAGGCCTGTGTACTAAATGGACCACAGGCAACTCTGTCAATGCTGTCTGGCATGTAGTAGGTGCTTAATAAGCGTTTCTGGAAGGAATCAGTTATAAAGAATCTACACGGGAAAAGAGCTCCTGCCCCAGAGCTGGCCAAAGTCATTGCTTGCTGGCCTCTCAAAGTTAAAAGCTCAGGGCTTCTCAGGTGCTGGGGAGGCAAGTGGACGCCCTCCCCACCGCTGGGACCAGGGCAGAACTGAATCTGGGATTGGCTGAGGGCGACCCAGCGAGGCCTCCTCTGGGCACCAGCTGGCCGTGAAGCAGGCCCATGCTCACTCTCCGCCCTGGAGGGAAGGGGGGTGGGGAAACCACAGCATTTCCTCGCTCTGCCCCTGAGCCCGCAGGTGAGGGGAAGGGCCCCATCCCAGCCTTGCATTTCACAGCATGGAACTGACTGCTGGGGAGGGTGTGTGCCTGCCCCCCAGGGGAAGGACGGCTGCCCAGAGGGAGGTCAAAGGGCACGGGTGCGCCTGAGCACGCAAGGGCACTGTGGACATTCACACACAAAGCGGGGGGACGGGGGACAATCCCCAGGAAGAGAGGGGTCTCCAGCAAGTCTGACTGCAGCGGCTGTATTTTAGGACGAGTTGTCACTGGATTTCCCTCCTGCGTGTTGCTTCTAGACCCCGAGTTGCTGAGGCTACAGCTCCCCTGGCATCCTCAACGAAGCCCTCCCTTTTCATCTGGCTCAGGACCCCTCCTGGGCCTGGGCACGGCGGACTCCAGCTCTTAACACATTCTCCCATTTGCACCCCACTGACCTTGAGATCGTTGGGGTGCTTGTGCGTCCACGCCAACAGCATGGCGGCAAAGAGGTCCCCGGTGCCCACGAAGACTGCGTCCACCTTGCGCATCTCCATGCGGATGCGCTGTGTCACCACGGAGCCGTCGGGGGTCCCTGGGGGGAAGCGTCCGGCAGCTGGGCCCCCAGACCCTCAGCCGGCAGAGGCCCCGCGGCCCTGGAGCCGGCTTGCCCTCCCCTGCACAGCGTCAGGGGGCTCAGCCTGCAGGGATCCCCCATGCCCCCCAGTGGCTGCCCGTCCCAAGTGAGAAAGTGAGAGACTGGAGCCCCGGAGGGCCACAGGGTCAGGGCGGCCTGGGGGACGCCATGCAGCCTGAAGACGAGGGGCCGGAACATGCGATGATGTGTGATGGGAGCCATGGGGGTGGGGGTAGAGCTGGAGGGACCGTGCTCACTCACTGGGGTCGGGGTGCGTGCGTGGGCGTGAGCGTGTGTGGATGCACGTGCATCCGTGAGTGTATCTGGGTGTGTAAGTGTCCTTTTGCACAGACACAGAGGGGGTGGTGACAGCTACACCTGGCACGGCTCGGGGCAGCTGGTGTGACCCCAGCCTTCTGTGTCATTTTACGCTGCGGCATCAGCATAATTAAACGACTGACACAGCAGAGCGTGAACGGTCCTCCCAGCGATGTTGGCATCAGCTCTGAGGTGGGGGGGATGGGGGGAGGCAGGCCTGGGGACACCTGGTTCCCCGGGAGCCGGGCTCCAGCTGGGCTGGTCCACGTGACCCCCGAGCCCGTAAGAGGGGATGTCATCCGTGTGCCGCCAGCACGGTCACAGACACCTGTGTGGTAACCGCAGGGGGAGCAGTCAGCACCCCACGCTCCCCGCACCCCGATTCACGGAAACCTCTCCTGGCTCTGTTTTCAGTCTGATCTTTCTTGGAGCTGTCGGGAGTTGGGGAGATTGGCCACCTGCCGAGTCAGGCTCGATTTCCTTTCCACTGCACCCAAACCTCGGAAGCCTCGAGGGACGCGGCAGGAAGGCGGGAGGGAGCCCAGTGCCGGGCGGGGACTTACGAGTCCTCTGGCTGCCCAGCGCGATCAAGTAGCTGCTGCCCCTCGCGGACGGCAGGTCCGAGCTGGTGATGACCACTGTGTCGGGGCCCATCGAGTGCAGCACGTCCATCACCTGCCGGACATGGGGAGTGCATCAGCCGCTCCGTGGCCGCCCGAGACGGGGCCCTGGTGGCCCTCGCCCCACCTCCCACGGCCCCTCAGCTTCTTACAGTCTGCCTGGATGGGACAGAGACAGCTAACAGGGGCCACACCCTGGGCCCCGCCCCGGCCCAGCAGTGACAGCTCGGCCAGGTCACAGCCGTCCCAGTTCCCTCCAGCCTCAAGTCCAAGGGTGCATGTCTATCGGTCCCAACCTGCACCCCGTCTGTGCCCGAACCCCGGAGGAAGGAGCCAACCAGCCAGGCCACCATCTTCTCTCGCCTGGGCTCCGGGGCGGCAGGAGCCGTGCCCGGCAACCATCAAGCGAGGAGCGCTTCCACGCTGTCCATCCTGAGAAACTATACTCCTTTATCCATTCAACAAACGTCTACCGCCCCCTCCCCAGCAGCACGCCGGGGCAAAATGCTCACTGGGGTGAACTGGGGCTCAGGAGGGGTGGGAGGTGGGAGGCCTCGTATCAGGCAGGAGGCGACGCCACCACTAACCCTCCCCTCATCGGCCCGGGGCCTGCAGGCTGGGGAGGTAACTGGCCAGAGGGTCACCGGGTAATGAGGAACAGACATCACTCTGGGTGGCTTTTTTTTTTTAAACAGCTGTAGGTGGTCCCACACGAGGCGTGCCACCGGCCCAGCACCCACCCTGCACTGGGTACCGTGAGTTTCCTCTGGTTCCCAAGCTGGGCGGGTATGTTAGAGATAGGGTCACTGTGCCCACGGCTCTGCTTCTTTCCCGCCCCAGGGTCACCTGGCTCTGAGACCCCCCAACTGCTGTGCCAGCTCAGAGCAAGGCCCTCAGAGCAGGGAAGGGGGGGGGGGTCCTCCCAGCCTGCTCTCCTGCCCCAGTGAGCCCTCCGCCTATCGGGGAAACAGACACACAGCCCCACGGGCCCAGGGGTGACCACGAATGGCCGCTGCCAGCTCTGACCCAGGGACCTGGCTCCTCCAAGTGTGTGTGCTTCCTGGACCGTGAAGTGAGCTCAGCCTCTGAAGAGGCCCAGATGTGGAAGGTGTGAGGCCCTGGCAGCCCCTGGTGCTCTGGGCATGCAGCACAGGGGTGGCAGACCCCACCTGAGGCTAAATCCCAGCAGGAGATCTATGGACCCTCGGCAAGTACCGAGGGAAGGTTGAAAAGAGCTTTGAAGAAATCTCACCCAGGGCTGCGGGGTCAGCTCCTGCCTGAGAGGCCCAGCCCGCCCTTCCCTTCCGGAATCCTGCCTTGTAGACTCCAGAAATGCCCAGCCAGCCCCCAAAGATACGGGTCCATTACGTGCAAGAAATCCTCCCACGCACACACACCACATGCACTCTCACACGTGCATGCAGACACACCCCACATACACACACAGAGCCTGGGGTGATGTGCCCACAAGCCCGGGAACACTGAGGACTGCCAGCCGCCTCCAGAAGCTGGGGCAGGAAAGGACTCTTCCTACAGGCTGCTGACAGCACGGGCCAGCCGGCCAGCCTGGGCTTCTGGCCTCCAAAACTATGAGAGCAAAGCCCTGCTGCTCAGCCACCCCGTCTGAGGCGCTTTGCGACAGCCCCGGACGCTCATCCAAAGACAGCTGGGACGGGCAGCGGGCGAACCCAGACCCAGCAGGCACTAGGCTGCAGGTGACCAACCAAGGGGCCGAAACGGAATTTGCAAAGGTTCCCCGGGCCTCGGGTGGCTGGCTGATGGGAAGCCAAACGCTGGCCACACAGGTGCCCGTCTCCTATGCCGGAGGGCGTGCGGCTGTCCCCTCCCACCGTGAGCGGGGCTGCCTGTCCCACGCCAGGTACAGGAAGGCCTCCTTACCGCTAAGGCTTCTTCCTCGCTGTGGATCTTTCTCCCGCTCAGCAACCTGGGAGGCAGACAAGCACAGCTGAGCCATCGCCTTTAGGAGCCCCAGGGCTACCTACGGTGCACTGGTGACCCCTCCTGCCCCACAGGGAACTGGCTGGCACCTGCCTGCCGTCGCGGACCAGGCAGCCACCGTGTCTGGGGACCAGTCAAGAGTCAGTTTGAAAGAGGACTCACGGGACATCCCTGGTGGCACAGTGGGTAAGACTCCGCACTCCCAACGCAGGGGGCCCGGGTTCGATCCCTGATCAGGGAACCAGATCCCACATGGGTGCCGCAACTAAGACCCAGTGTAACCAAATAAATAATAAAATAAATAAAAATAAATTTAAAAAGTAAAAAGGGACCCACACATCATGGGAGCGGGTGGAAGTTCCGGACCGTGGTTAACGTTTACACATAACAACGGGGAAGGACGGCCGTGCACGGTCACAGCACACGGTGCCACTGAGGGCAGCCAGCGTCCTCGCAAACGGCTGCACATCTCAGTGCACTACGTTCTTGAGCTACCAACCATCAGGGACCTCCGGGTGAGCCGCCATCCCCCAGCATCGACAGGCCCGGGCGAGGGAACCCCAGGCCCCCAAGAGTCCAGGGGCCCTATCCCTACTTTATAGGGTGGCCTCGGGGCCAGAGGGGATATCGCTGCTGGCCTAACAGAGCCGAACGCGATGGGGACACACCCACCGCAGCGCTCATGCCCCAAGGCCCCAGGAGCCGCTCCTCAACCCCCTGAATGCCCAGCTCTCCTGTCCATCGGGGGGGCCGGGCATGCAAGAAAGGCCCCTGGAAACATGGCGCTGGGCAGCAGGGCCGGCATGGTCCTTTTAACCTCGTGCAGAGATTTGGGATGTGGGTTTCAGAGCTCCGGGGCGGTGGCCCGCGTCAGCTGGCGTGGGCTCCCCGTCCCATCGCCCGTGTCAGCCACGTGCACCCCCGGCTTCGCCACAGCACCTCTGCCCACTTCTGTCCCCAGAGGCTCTCGCTGCTCGGGGACCAGCATGACCACAGGGAGTCGGGGGGAAACGACTGCCCACTGCTGCTGACAACCAGTGCCCGCCCTGGCGCTCAGGTGGGCTGGCAGCTCCCTGCCCCGCAGACTGGGACTCTCCAGCAGGGTCCCTGTCACTCTCCCCATGGGGATGGGGGGTAGGTCTGACTGCTCCAGCCGACTCAAATGACTTACTCAGCCTCAAACTGGTTGGGGGTGATGATGTCTGCAACCGGCACGACCTTCTCTCTGTAAACTGGAAGGAGGTCCTCAGGGACGTACTGCGGGAAAAAGACAGGAACAGGCTGACGCATGAGGGGTGAGGGAGGGAGGCCAGGGCGGCTCGTGCTGTGGGGACCCCAAGGCTCCAAGGGGTCCCGAGGCAGGTCTGGGGCAGCCAGCCCTGACAATCCACCCTGACGATCCGGGTCAGGTCCCCACTAGTGGCTTTCCACCGTATCCGTGTGATGACACCGCCCACTCAACCCTCATCAGCGTCGGGAACCCAGGCCCACAGTCTGTTGGTGTGTGGCTGGTGGGCTGAGAGTGACTTTTTTGTTTTTAAATGGTTGGGGGGAAAGTCAAAAGAAAAACAGTATATTCTGTGACACGTGGAAATTAGAGGAAATTCAAAGCTCAGTGTCCACACCTGAAATTCGATTAGAAAACAGCCATGTTCGTTCTTTTGCAAATCACCTGCGGCTGCTCGAGCTGCAACAGGGATGCACGGCCCTGAAATACCTCCTCGGGGGCCCTTCGCGGAAACCTCTTCTGCCAGCCCCGGCCTCTCCTTCCCGACAAGGGACAAGGATGTGTCTCTGGCCCGAGAGCAGTGTCTCTCGCCCAGGCAGACACTTCCAGAGTGCTGCCAACAGCCCCACGGCCCGCACCCCAACGCGGGGAAGCACTCACCATGGAGCCTTCTCCGTTCCACTTGTCTCCCATCACGGGGTCGCACACTGCGGGAGACAAAGAGCATCTGATCGGCAAAAGCGGCGGCGCTGAGAGGAGCGCCCCACACCTGACTTGTTGTTAAGTTTCACACGCGCAACTAAAAGGGGAAAAGCACGGCCTCCCGTCCTCATTTACCTCCTTACCTGGCATTTTGCATCTTGCTGTCCGGGCCCCACCTGCGGAGTCCCTCACCCCACCCAGGGACCGGGTGGTCACACACCCCACCCTGACACTGATCACAGCCCTGTGTGGTCACTGGCTTCCCTCACCCGCCCCAGACAGACGCCAGGTTCACCGTGAGGACGCCTGTGAGGCTCTCGTCCCCAGACAGAGCCCGTGTGCTGGGAGGAGCAGAACGTGAAGATGGGGCGCCCAGAAGAAAGGAGGCTGAGCCGCCCGTTCCTGGGGCTCCCAGCACCTACCGTAGACGAGCCTAGAGTTCTGCTGCTTCAGCTCCCGCACGATGTCCACCACCATGGCCAGGAAGGACTTGTCTCGCGTGTATCCTTTGGGAGGGACAGACAACTCTCGTCACCCAACCACGGCGACGGCGCCATCAAGCCCATCTGCCCAGAGAATGGTAGGCAGTGCCCAGACCCCGCGGCCGGGGCCAAGACAAGTGCTCCCCACAACCGTAGGCACCAGGGGACGCCGGGCATTTCCCAAAAGAAACGTTAACTTTTACAGGAAAGGAAGAAGCCGCGGGTGAGCAAGGATTGTCCTTCCTCTATTCCATTTTCCAGAATCAGCATATGCTCACTTCTAACCACGTATATAAATAAATGCAACCATGTGGGTTTGTAAATGAAACCAACACACCAGGTGGCAGCGTGTTGCTCATCTGGGTGTTTTTGTCTCAGACCCCTTCCTAACACCCCACCTGTCCCCCGCCATGGGCGTGGAAACCCCAGTATGGAGGCGTGGCACAGCCAGGACCCCCAAGGTCATACGGTCACTAGGGCCCCACTGAGTTCCTGATGGCAGGACCATCCCTCCTCGAGGGAGGCAGGGACCAGGTAGCAGCCCAGGTCAGGGGTGCTCTGGGCCTCCCCAGACCACCCCAGGTGGGCGCCAGGCCCCGGTTCCGGGCCCCCGTGCCCTGGGCCTCACCCGTGAGCACGTAGTCATACTTGTTCACGTCGTTCAGCTTCAGCCCGTCGTACAGCTCGTGGAGCTCATCTGAGTTCAGCACTTGGCCCTTCCAGTGCGAGTAGCCTGGTGGGGGGAGAGCAGAACACGCAGGCCCTGACGCGTGGGGCACGCGGGCGACACGGCCCTCGGCAGGTCCCCCCCGAAAGCGCATCTGGCTCCGACACGTTCTGGGGTGGTTATTACTGAGTCCGGGGTCCACCCTCCCACCCGGTGCAGCGAGGGCCCAGCTCTGCAGGCCGCCTGAGGACGCCTGTGCAGCCTACATTGCACCAACAGACAGGACGCAGGGCTGCAAAACTTCTCCCTGTCCTTGGCGGGGCACCTGGGAGCGTCCCCGTCGTGTCACGGTCCCTGGCTTTGCCAGCCTCTCCTGTGCACGGCCCCCATCCAGGCTGAGTTGCTTGAAGCCTGTTACCTGTGCACCCTGGCAGGTAGGGGCTCCTTGCATCCCCACCTCCATCCAAGATGAGCTGCAACTGATCCAAGTCTTGGGCCAAATCCTGACCAAGAGCCGACTGTGAACCAGAAAGAGGCTGCGGCCCGAGTTCCTGACCCGACAGGCACCCGGGTGAAGCGCCCACAGGGCAGGCAGGAGGCCCTCTTGAGGTCCCTCGGGGCGGGCGCACCCCACCAGGGACACCCCGCAGTCCGCCCACGGCAAGTCCATCCTGGCAGCCCTTACGCCAAGAGGGACCACTCAAACGGATGGGTTCCTAAGCACATAAGTAAAAGCCTCGGGGAGGGCTGATTTCTATGACAGCGAAGTCGAGTACAGACCACAGGAAGCAGATCCCGGCCACAGCCCCAGACCCTCCCTGCCGTCTCGGGTGTCGTCCTGCAGGTCCCGCACCGGCTGGGCTGTGGGCCTGGAGAAGGGGCTGCGGCGCCCTCTGTGCCCGTGGGGCGAGGGCTCTCCTGCAGCGGAGGGACCAACACCCGACAACACCTGTCGGCAGTTCTCCAGGACGGCGTGGCCTCTGGTGGACGCCCATTAACCAGTCGGGAGGGCCAGAGGCAAGGAGGGTCCACCAAGGCGAGGTGACCCATCTCTCGCAGGGCTGCCCCAAGGCTCAGGTGTCTGCCAAGAGCCGGCAGCCTCTGGCTGTGTCCCCGCAGGTGTTGCTGCCACAAAATCCCACCGGCCCAGGTGGGAGGAACAATGGCCCTTCCTGCCCCTTGGTTTTCCGAACATCATTCCAGACATGGTGGTTTCTTCTTTTTCTTTTTTTCTTTGGCTGCGCTGCGTGGCTCAATTCCCTGACCAGGGACTGAGACGGGGCCCTCAGCGGTGAAAGCGCCGAGTCGTAACCATGGGACGGCCAGGGAATTCCCAACACCGTGAGGCCTGACTCCGTTGCACATATGCACTTCTCTTGTCCTAGGGCTGCTGTGACCAAGAACCACAGGGGCTCCCACAGTTCTGGAGGCCAGAGTCCGGGATCATGGTGTCGCAGGGCTTGTTGCTCTGAGATCCCCACGGCGGGCTTCTCCTGGGTCCCCACGTGGTTGTCCCTCTGGGCATGTGTCTGTGTCCTAATCTCTGTGGGCACCGATCAGGTTGGAGCAGGGGCACCCCAATGACCCCATGTACCTTTTAACTGCCTCTTTAAAGACCTTATCACATCTGAGGTCCTGGGAGTTAGGACTCTGACACGTGAATTGAGGGGACACGGTGCAGCCCGTGATATGCAGTCAGCCCCCGCCAGGTCTCAAGCATGGGTCGCCCCCCGCCCGGCGAGACAGCTTCCTAACATGATGAGAAGGTTCGGGCCCCCACCCCCCACCAAACTCTCCCCTCCAAACTCAGGAGACCCTTCTGAAACACAGGGGCACTCCGGTCCTCTGTCCAACCCGCCCAATTTACAGCTTACAGATGGAAAAACAAACCCCGCAGAGGTCGAGCCGGTGACCCCGAGGGACCCAGCTCCTTCCCTGCACGTCTGCTGCAGGCACCTGGTCCTGCGCCCCCAGGGGGTCACCACCAGGCCTGGCAGCAGGTCACACCCCAAACCCTACGTGCCTGGAAGGCGGGCCCTGCCCCACCCGCCAACCTCCAGCCCTGTCCAGTTTCTTCCAGCCGCTCGTCCAAGGGCTCGGATCTTGGGTAACAGGAAACTCTTGCTAAAGGAACAACCACAGAACACCGGCTGCTGCTTCAGAGCCCAGCGCTGCCCTGGAGCGGGGCGGCGGGGGTGGGGTGGGGCGGGCATCATCATCTAATGTCTAAGCCAACTTGGCTCTTTTACTTAAAAAAAAAAAAAGAGGGTAGTTAAAACAGCCAGTAAAACCCGTAAGCTCTGAAGGGGTTCACTGGGTTGACAACTTTTGGGGACGTGTCCAAATGTCACTGTGCCCAGCACTCTGAAAGCAAAAGCAAGAAAGGACTCTTAGTGGGAACTGTAGCCTTTTCATCTGAACCCAGTGTGCTGTTCCTCCTCAACTGATGACTTGTGACACCTCCTCCCTTCCAAGAACCCCACCCGGAAGAATCGGGCTAAGGGGAAGCACCCTTCCGCGTATCTGGTCGGCACTCTGCCAGCAGTTTCTGGGACCTTCTGTGCTCTGAGATTCCGTCAGGGTTCAGAGTAATTTCAAAGAAGGATGTGGGAATGTTTCCAGGAACTGAGAGGCTTTGTCCCCCTGCCAGCACCAGCTCAGGGATCCCACGTCAGGGCGTCTCTGAGGCCATGGGGGTGGGGAGCCCGGGGACCTCGCCTGACACCTTGGGGGCTTTCCAAGGGCTGTGACCCTCACGAACATGAGGCAGCAGCAATCGCACAGCTTTCTGTGCACAGAAATCCTTGGGGTCCCCGTGCGCGAAGAGACACACACACGAGCTCCCCGAGGCTCTGGCTTTTAAGAGAAAGTAGGGATCTGCTCCCCTCCCAGTCCACAGTGCCCCCCAGGGGGGGGGGGGGGCCAGAACAGGTACGAGGATCACCGCCCTTGGTTCACGGAGGAAAGCGGGGGGCCGAGAGGTCACATCACCCGCCAGGCCATCCAGCTCCAAAGCAGCCACACTGATTTAAACACGCAGCCGGCAAACCCAGGCCCCCTGAGCCCCGTGTGCACGTGCTGCGCAGCCTCGGCCAGGACCACACCCCCGGCTCCATTTCCCGTCTGTAAGGTGAGGGACCGCGTCCTACGCCCACACTCAGCTCTGCGAGGACCTCTGAGGCTGACGCCTTACCTGTATGGTTTGAAAACTGGACAGAGTTCACTGCGTCGACCTCAAACCCCAAAACCTGCAAGACGGACAGAGAAGGAGCAGGTGTAAGAAAGCTGGTGGGCTTCCAGGGACCCACGGCAGGTGCCTGACCCAGCCTGGGGCTGGCTGGAAGGTCCCAGACGTGGAGGACAGGAAGAGGGGGAGGTCTCCCCAGGTCAGCCTCAGCACCCGCACTTCCGGTGACGTGCGTGGAGGTGACGGGAAACATCTCGGGGAGCAGGCACCCCTGAAGGGCCGGGGCTCAGAGGCCACTGCCTGCCCGCTGGAACTCAGCACATCACTTCTGGAAATGCCACCAAATGGAAGTGCTCACAGAGACCAGCAAGGCATCCATCTGTCGGGACACAGGGCAGTGAGGCCGTCTGTGTTCTGGCCCCCAGCCCAACGGCGGGGCAAGGCCAAGGGCTCCCAGTCCCTCCCTGGGAGCCTGGCTTGTAGCCCCTGCATCGTCACGTGCCAACTGGGAAGAAAGGAGGTACCCAGCCCGGAGCCAAAGGTCCTAAACGATCGCAGCCACAGACCCGCTCCCGGACAAGGGAGGGACCCCACCCCACAGGGCCAGCCTCATGCGGTCCCGGCTCAGGTCACCTGGCCGCCGGGGCTCGGCCCCCTAAACCTGGGCCACCAGCCTCTCCAGAGGCGCAGGGGGCAGAGCAGTTAAGGGAGGGGAGGGGTGGCGCTCTGGTGCCGAGAGAGCCCGAACACAAGGTCTAGAAAGTTCACTTCCAGCAGTCAGAGCAGGTGACTGCAGAAAAGGTAAAGGCAGCACGGACCTAAAGTCAGGTTTATGAAGCAGAAGCCCCCCTTCTTAATGAAGGGGGGCAAGAGGTTGTGTCTAAAACAGCTGGACGTCTCCACAAGTCTGGCAGCGTGCACTCGTGACACGCAAAGTCCCACAGCGGTTTTTCCTTGTGCGTATCTCTACTTTCCTATTTTTCTGCATTGAATCGGTCTTGGCTCCTTCGGGTGAACTGAGGTACAGGACACCACAGATCCCTCGGCGGGAGAAGTCACATTCCCTGTGGGGGCCCCTCGACCCTCGGCCCTCAGAGGTGGTGGGCATCAGGGCCCAGGCCCCCCGCCAGGCCCCAGCGGCCTCTTCCAGGCCGGCCTCACCGCCATCGCCGTGGGCAGACCCGGGACAAGGGCCCCGCCTCTCAGAGCATCCACTGCATCGCTCCACACGGTCAGCACGGCACCAAGACCCCCGTGCAGGGCCCTGTGCTCAGGGTACAGCCGTGAGGCACCACCCACCTGGGCGAGGCCAGACACCCAGGCGTCTAGCCAGCGTGAGCGGCACCCAGGGCGCGGCCGCGTTCTGCGGCACCAGGTGGCCACCCCCGAGGGGCAGAGCACAGGTGACCAACTCAGGCCTTCTTTCGTGTCCCCCCACCCCTGGGGAGGCAAGGGGCTCATGCGTGGACTCTGACCACGGCCGCCTTCCCACACTCAGTCCAAACAAGCTCAAGGCCAGCCTGCCTCTGGAGCCGCCACCCCCGACGGACACCGGATTCGCTGCCTGCCGGGAGCCGAGCCGCCGTGGGCGCCGCCGCTGGGGGAGGGTCTTCCCACCCTCGGGTTCTGGGGAGGGGGCTGAGCTGAAGGCCACGTCATCCACCAGACGGCGGCCTGGCACCTCTGCCTCCTCGTGCGTCTGCTCCCGCCCCTGCCCCCCACCCCAGGCCGCCAGTGCGGCCTCTCGGAACCTCCCACGCGACCCACCACTTCCCACCCCCCGTAGGCCCCCTCCCCGCCTCACACACGGTGCCCCAGGGGCTGGCGCTGAGCCACCCTGGCACCTGCCCGGGAGGGTCCCTCCTCCTCTCCTGGGCTCGCCCCTCCCCCCTCTACGGCGCCCCTGCCCTCCCCCCAGGGAGGCTGCGACCCTGTTCTTTGGGACGCGCGGCACAGGGCATGAGTATTCGCTCATTTGACACACACATCGGTCTCACGCGCGCCCCGCTCTACACCCTGGCCCTGGCGCCCGGTCCCCTCCGTCCTCTCCCCACCCCCAGCCGGGTCTCAGCTGGGAAGTTCACTTCCACACGGGCCACCAGAGACCGCACCAAAGGAGCCACACGAGCCGGGGAAGCCGGCAGCCACGGGGGGGTGGGGGGGCGGGGGAAGCAGGAGACAGTGCCCTGCCGGGTGGGACGTGCGGCCGGGCCCTGAGCTCAACCGCTGAGCTCACTGCTGCAGGAGGAGATGCCGCCCACCGGGGACTCCCCGAGAGGCGCGGCCCCTGACCTTCGCGCCCTCTCCCTCCTGGAAACCACAAAAATGAGAACAAGGGACCCTTTTATAACGGATCCTCAAGGACAGAGAAAGGGAGGAGACGCAGCAGGTGAGCGATTCCACCAACTCTGGAAACACACCGCACAGCCCAGGTAACTGAGAATCTCAGCACCTGCGGAGAGGGGACGCGGGTGAGAGCGGGGGCCCCCACCCGCAGAACCTCTCGGCGAGACGGAGGTCGGGGACAGAGCATGGAAACCCCGGGCCGCGGCTGCCCCAGGGGCCCCATCGTCGGCCACTTTGCCCTGGCTGTGCGTGCCTTCCTGTGCACCAGCAACTTCCCATAATCCTCCCTCCCGCTTCACCTGAACAACACCAACCAACCTTCAGGTCTCACCTCAACATCGCAAATAGGCAAAGCTCCCTGGCCACCAGGATAGCGTCTCTCCGGGCGGTGAGGGTAGTGATTCGGGGTGGGGGGGGGGGGCCCTGGGTGCAGATGAGGACCACACCCCAGCTCTCCACGGGGGCGGTGGTTACCCAGGCGTGCTCCCTTTGTGAACACACGGAGCTACACGCTTATGACGTGCGTATCTCAATGTCTTTCTAAAAATTTCAAGCCAGTATTATGAGGACTTAAAGTAATAAAGCAAAAATCAACAGTCTTGTTAAACTAGAAACTTAAAATTGTCACTTTGCAACTTTACTTGCCAGATTTCATGGCCTCCTAGACAGAGCTCGCGGTATTCCAGGTCCCTAAATTCTAATCGACTTCAAAGAAACAAGCTTTGAAGCAACGATGACACACATCACAAGATTTGAAGCAACGATGACACACATCCTGAAAATCCTTTCAAAATATCCTGCTCCACTGCTTCTGGATGCACAGATAATTAATCCTTTAGAGCCGGCACATTCGAAGCCACTGTTCTCTGCTTCTAAACGATAGCGCTAAGCCCCAGGGCCGGCATCTCCATTTCACCTACCAGCAGCTTATGAATTGGCATCACAGGCTAGTGTGAGGGCAGGGCCGGGGGACGCAGCAGGAAGACAGGGCACAGGGCCAGGCTCCAACATGGGAGCCCCTGGACCCCAGAAAAAGGAGGTGCCTGTTGTTAAAACCTAGTCTTCAGCTCAACACCCCCCCACACCTTTTGTGCTCAGCTCTGGGATCTGGGACTGCGACCCCGGACATCACATCCCTGCTCAGCCAGGGGCTCCCGACTGAGCACCGACGGGAAGAGACTGTAAGATGGGGAGGGTCCTGCCTCTGCTGGTCACTGTACCCCAGCTCCGCTCTTCACCTGCAGAAGGGGGGCCCCCAGAAGCAGCTGTGGTCTTTCCATTGCTCCCAGCACCCGCACTACACAGCCCTACACATCCCCCCACCCCTCAGCTTTAAGTCCCAACCGTAGACAGACAGGGTGGGGGGGGGGGGCTCCCAGTTGGAAGAGGACCAGGCATGGCTTTCTTGACACAAGAGAAGCCACTTGTGGTCTAAGCCATGTGTGACCTAAGCCTGGTCACAGTGCTTGCCCCTGAACAGCTCTCAGCGATTAACGATCTTAAGGGAACAAAAGAATGCAGGAACAAACAGTTATTAAGCAAGAGAAGTGACAATAGCAAAGGAAATCAATCAGCTGTCAAGACTCCCCGTTCTGTTTCCCCTAGCTCACCCCTGGCTCACCCTTGCACAACCCCATCGAGTGTGGGTGGAAGCTCCAGAAGAGTCCAGTCTACTCACACGCACCCTTTAGGAGCAGAGTTCTCTTCTCCCAAGACAAAAGAAATAAAAGCAAAAATAAACAAATGGGCCGTAATCAAACTTAAATGCTTCTGCACAGCAACGGAAACCGTCAACAAACCAAAAAGACAACCTACAGAATGGGAAAAAACATTTGCAAATGATGTGACCAACAAGGGCTTAACTTCCAAAATACACAAACAGCTCACACAGCTCAATAGGAAAAAAAAAACAACAACCAAACAAGCCAAACAAAAAATGAGCAGGAGACCTAAATAGCCATTTCTCCCAAGAAAACATACAAACGGCCAACAAGCACATCAAAAGATGCTCAACATCGCAAATTATTAGAGAAATGCAAATCAAAAGTACAATGAGGTGGGGCTTCCCTGGTGGCGCAGTAGTTGAGAGTCCGCCTGCCAATGCAGGGGACACGGGTTCGTGCCCTGGTCCGGGAAGATCCCACATGCCGCGGAGCAGCTGGGCCCGTGAGCCATGGCCGCTGAGCCTGCGCGTCCGGAGCCTGTGCTCCGCAACGGGAGAGGCCGCAACAGTGAGAGGCCCGCGTACTGCAAAAAAAAAAAAAAACAAAAGTCTACAAATAACAAATGCTGGAGAGGGTGTGGATAAAAGGGAACCCTCCTACACTGTTGGTGGGAATGTATATTGGTGCAGTAACTATGGAGAACAGTATGAAGGGTCCTTAAAGAACTAAAAATAGAGTTGCCATATGATCCAGCAATTCCAGTCCTGGGTATAAAGCCAGAAAAGACGAAAACTCTAATCTGAAAAGATACATGCACCCCAATGTTTACAGCAGCACTATTTACAATAGCCAAGATACGGAAGTAAGACGTAAAATTCATATTTTATGGCAAGAAAAGAAAAATGTAAACATAAAAGAAATGTTCTCTGCCCTTTGGCCTCCTCTCACCCCCCACTTTGCATCATATATCTGCATCTACAAACCTCCCCGTCGGCAGAAATACCTGCTCAACCATAAAGAGTAACATTCTCCCAGCATCTACAAGACAGTT